GCACCGCACGCGGCCGATCGACCGTCGGAACATGAGCCGCCCGCAGCCCGAACAGGAGAGCCCACTGCGGCAGACGCCCTCCCTGGCATCGCCACGCTGCGCGCACCCGACACCGCTGCCCCTCGGCAACCTCCCGCGCGTGAGGTTGCGCATGCCTGGAACTGGGATCGAAATCGGAATCGTCTCCCTGCTGGGCAAAAGCCCGCCCCGCTGTGGGGGAAGGTGGACAAGCGCCGCAGCGCTGCAGCGTTAATCCCACCAGCCCTCTGGGCGTAGGTGGTTTAGAATTCCTCTTCCACCCCTCCATCTTCCCCTTTGGGAGGGGTTTACCCCTCCCCCTACCCCCCTACCCCGGACCTGGACGGGGAGCAGGGCGAGCGGTCAGAGCGTCCAAGATGGCCCAAGATGGCTCCGAGAGCGCCTCAGAGAGCCCAAGATCGCTTCCAAGACGGCTCGAGATAGGGCAAGATCGCTCAAGATGGCTCCCAAGATGTTCCAAGAGACGCCAAGACCGCCCCAAGACGGCTCCAAGAGGCCAAAGAGCGTCTCAACGAGGCCCCGACGAGGTCAAAGTCCTCCCAATACCCAAGGAGAATCGATGCGTGTTGCTTTCGCCTTTTCGCGTCCGATGGCCATCCGAGGCCTCGAGATGGCTCCAAGATAGCTTTTTATTCGATCCTGGCAATGCCAACTGTACAATCACTTCCGCCTCCGAGTCTTGACGACCTGGTTCTGGCGGGCCCACTGGCTGCGACCTGGAGGTTGCCCCTTGGCAACCTTCTTTAGCATCCTGGAGCCGTAATCACTGAGGTGACCAGCACACGGATGCCTTAAATTGCGAACCGCCATGGCCGCGGTAAAACTGCACGAGAAACAAACCGCGGTGCCCCATGTCTTACTGCAACCTAACATGTGGGACGGATGCAAGCTCTGACCATTCACCACATCACCCTGTGGTATCATCACCACTCCATTGAACAAACCTGCGCGGCAAGGAGTGCTGAGAAACTGCCGGGCCAGGGAGCGTGGGGCCGAGCCTCCAGACTGTACAATGGATTCTGTTCCTCCTACCCTCCTCTGGCGAGTCAGCCGCAAGATCCAGCTGGGTCTTATACTCCCTAAAATGCCGCTGCACAACCTTTTTCTCGAGGGGCCCTGTCGCCGTCCGCCTCGATCGCAGACAACAGCGCGTGCCCTCGATGGTCCCTAACCTGGAAAGCAACCCCTTGGGCGAGGGACCTGCTGTCTCGGTCCTTCTCTGGCACACGAAGGTGGTCTGCCCACGAACTGGCGATGCTGTCTGCCACTTCGTTGATCAGGTAGCGCAACTGATCCGCACCTGCGGCTGCGACGTGCTCGGCACCCCTACGGCTCTCAACATTGACGGCAACCAATCCCTGTTCGGGGTGCGCCTGGATGAGAGCTCTGAGCTGGTGCCACACATCAACGTGAGACTCGGGATTGACCCCTGCCCCCAACTTGGCAAGGTTATTGACTACATACGTAGAGTCCGTAACAAAATAGGCCGAGGCAGTCGGAAACACAGCCCGAACGAACTCCACAAAGCACAGAGCCTCACCGCGATTGACCGACTGCCTCGTCCCTGGGACATTGCCAAATCCTGCAGCGCGCGCGCGAAGGCTGTCGATCGAGTACTGGCCGTCCTCGTCGAGCCCTCTCAGCGACACCCAAAACCAGGCAACTCTGCGCAGCGCGGGATCCTGCGTGTCCTGGCCGCCACTCGCGCCCCCTCCACCGAAGACGAAACCACTCACAACGGCCTCGCCCAAGTCACCCCCCCCCCAACCTACGGAAGTCGGCAACATCTGGTGGTGGAGGGGCGGCGGTCCAAGATCTGGGCGTCAGCCCTCAGATCCAAAAGCCAGGACCGTTCTCCGCATCAGCTCTGGCTCTGCGTGCAACGAAATCTGAGACGCTACTCAAATCTGCATTCTCGGGGCACTCCCAAGCTCTATGCAGGTCTGACTCAAACACATGCTGGCACCTACGACATCGGCTGTCTTGCGACAAGCTGCACTCTTGCATTCGGTGTCGAGTTCAACTGTTGCCCGTAGCTACAGCACGAAGGATGCCAGCCCACGCATGTACCATTCTTCTTGAACCTCTTCAGGTCCCTTCTGGAATCAAACAGAGCCCTGACCGTTCCACGATTTGTTCGCAGCTGCTGTCCACAGCTTGCGCTCCATGCTGGCTGCTAGAGCCTCCTTGATAACAGCTAAATCTACCTTACCCTGCCCGAGCAGGGATTCGTCGATCGCATACCTCTCACCCCGATCACTCTCCCACGCCCACGGACCCCAAGGCTCCAAACCTAGATCGAGCAGAGTGGCTATGGTAGCTGCTGCAGGAGTGGCAGCTCCCCTCCACCTATGCTTGGCAGGCTTGTCCCGCAAACGAGCGAGAACTGTCCTCCATGCTCTACGGATCCGCTCGGCATGGAAACTGCGATCAGTTAAAATGAGGAACCAAGCCTCAATCGTGTCAAAGAGAGCAAGGAAGGCAGGGTCTCTCCTCCCATACTCAAGCGCTAGCAGCGTGGTGAGGCACCTACCCCCCTTAGCGACTCCTCCCGTCAATCGGCCCAACGACCGACGCCACCTCAAGACGACATGGGGGGCAGCGCCGTGCACCTTATCGGAATACCGTGACGTGGCAAAGGCAGCAGTGAGGGCCATCTTCTTCGCCCACCGCTTGCACAACATACTACCTTTGGCTAGCTTCTGAAGCTTACCTAAACGCTTGACCGTGGCCTGCCGACGTGCTGACTGTTTCGGTCTGGAAGCTCCGACCCGACCTCTACCGATGCCCAAATCAGCACTGACCAGTTTGACCTGGATGTCAATCTGGTGGCCCTTGAAAACAGCTGCAACTGCTTGGCTACACTGGTGCTCGAGCAAATGATACACGACTTGCCAGCCATAGAGAGATGCGCCTGCTCAAGACTGCGGATGAGCTTCAGCCCTGCACTCGGGAGCTGTCTGAACACAAGCGCACTGGTGCCATGCATGCACTGGACAATGTCATCTACCCAGGTGTGTAGACTAGGCTCGGCAGGAGCACCTGTGACAAGTTGCGCGCAAACGTGATGCAAGGCTGCTCTGCCAAGGTCGACAGCTCCACTGCTACCTGGTATGAGCGACAACTCTGGGTCTACTGGGGGCGAGTACCCCCCCATCACGAAGAAATCTGACCGCCATGTGGCTCTGCAATTCTAGTGCAAGATAGCAAGGCGGAACATCCAGTTCCAAAGCCTTCTCCAACATGAGGTCCCAGCGAAGGCTCTCGTAGAACCCCTTCACATCCCAGAGCAGACTGCTACTATGAAAGTCGGGGAAGCTGGAGTTCGCAGCCTCCTCGTCCCGAAAAAGGCGCAACAACGCTACCTGCAGGGCTGAGGAACCAGCCAGCGCCGTCCAAGAGAGCCCCCAAAGAGCCCCAAGACGGCCCCAAAAACGCCCAGGAGCGCTCCAAGAGCGCTCCATAAGGGGTCCAAGAGGCGATTTTAAGGGTTTTCAAGGGGGGGCCTAATTAGTGCCCCCCCCTTCTTTGATAGATTTCCTCTAAGATGGCCCCAAGAGCGCCCCTGAAGCCCCCAAGGGCGCCTCAAGAGCGCCCCAAGAGGCGCCCAGACCGCCCCAAGAGGCCTCCAAGAGGCTCCCAAGAGACCCCCAAGAAGCCTCAAGGGGATCGTCCGAAAAAGGCATTTAAGACGCTTTTGGCTCTTCGGTTCGCCGTTTTCCTCTTCCTCATCCGCCTCTTCCTCCTCCTTCCTCCTCTTCCTCATCCGCCTCTTCCTCCTCCTTCCTCCTCCTCCTCCTCCTCCGCCACCTTCTCCTCCGTCTCCTCCTTCTCCTCCCTCTGCTCCTTCTCCTCCTTCTCGTCGTCCTCGTCCTCACCCCCGTCCAGATCCTCCTCCTCATTCTCCTCCTCCTCCTCCTCCTCCTCCTCCTCCTCCTCCTCCTCCTCCTCCTCTCCCTCCTCCTCCTCCGACGACGAGGCATCCTCCATCCTCCCCCTCTTGGGGTAAATGACAGCTTCCCCAGCCCTTTGTTATTCTGCACGTTCCCCCCCATTGCCTGATCACCTCAACTCCCCTGGGCATCGTTTCTGGATGGGCTGGTGCGGATACTTTTTTGGTCGGCGGCCGCGCGACCACGGTCTGGCGGCAACATGCGATGTCCGGGACTACGGAACTGGTGCGGATACGCGAAGGGTCAACAATTTCAAAACTGTCAGTTCTGGTCAAGCAAAGCGTGCCACGCATCAAGATTTGACAAGCATCCGGATTTTCCATCAAGATGATCCAACTCGCAATTGCCTCTCACCGACATCCACGCAAACTGATGTAGACATTGCTGTCTGGGAGGGGGGCAACCTCGCAGAAGCAGCCAGTCCGACGGCGACAATCTTTTAGCCAGGTGCGGGTCCTACAGACGGGCACGGCAATCGCAGTTATCTCTGAACCTGGTGAAAAGAAACAACCATCGGGTCGGGCGAAAGGGGGGGATAGCAAGGGGGGGGTTTGAGAATCAGCTCGCGTAGCTGATTTCCCCGGCGCCTCCCGGCGCTTGAGGCGGCTATGTATCGAGGAATGGGCCCCTCGGTGAGGCCGAAACCAGCTGCATGCAGTCAATTTCGTACCCCCCCCTCTCCAAATCCCCCCCTTTCGTCCGGCCCGAAACCAGTGAGTCGTTAGCTCACTACCGGACTGCACCGGCCGACGTTCTCGATTGGACCGCTCCCTTCTGCTTCCACCCGGCCGTCACTGGGCCCTGCTCTTGCCACATCCAAGGAATGCAGGCGTCTCGATCACAGTCGCAAGACCCGTAGAGGAGAACCCAGATGACCGAGAACAGCCACTGGCTGCCAGTAGCTGTTATTGGCCATTGGATGTGCCTGCTTTGCCCTAGGACGGTCAATGGCACCGAATGGAAAAAATGCTGGGACAAAGCGGAAGACGTCAGTCTCCTGACTACCGCCGAAGAAGGGGAAATCCATCAGAGAAGAAACCAGAGAGCATGAAATGCTGCATCAGCCGGACAAAGAATGAGAACACATCAGACTCCACATCTGTCAGCAGAGCCAGCAAGCCGACCAGGTAGTTCATGCCTGGCAGCACGAAAGAGGAAGCAAAGCCAGGCAACGTGGGGCACGCATAACATGTGCATCGCTGACAGGACGAGTCTATAACACGACTACTGGTAGCGGCCTGCATAATTAGCTCGCGTGCTCTCCGCAATGCGAGGCCGATGCAGCCTGCCTGAATAAGGCCGGGGCCACCGCTTGATCGGACCTGCTGCCCCAAGTGCGCGTACGCTGGTTGTGTTTTGCTGCAGCAACAAGAACCACGACGACGACAACGACAAGAACAACAACACCAACAACAAGAATCATTTTAAGACTGTTCTCTCTTATCTGTTCGACTGTCAGTCAACGAGTATGTCCCAAACCCTCGCTACCCGCCCTCTTCGTCTTCGGTCGTACCCTTCTGGGGGGTACATCTAGCTTCCCTGCAGGCCGGGCCCTGGCCAGCGGCAGCGCTGATCGGCGGCAACCCGACCCCAAGAGGGACGGACAGGGGACCCACCACGGCGACGACGACGACGACAACGACAACGACAACAACAACACCAACACCAACAACAGCACCACCAACAACGAAACTACCAACAACACCACCAACAACAACAAACACAACAACAAACACAACAACAACAACAACAACAACAACAACAACCACAACAACAACAATAACAACAACACCAAGCCCAAGAACAACACCAACAACAACACCAACAACAACAAGCAACACCAACAACAACAAACACAGCAACAATCACAACACCAACCCCAACAACAACAACAACAACAACAACAACAACAACAACATCAACACCAACAACAACAGCAACAACGACGACGACAACAACAACAAAAACACCACCAACAACAATAGCAACAACACCAACAACCGCAACAAGATCAGCAGCAATACCAACGGCGACAACCATGTAACAAAAACGCCTGTCAGCTTCACACATCCAACCCCACTGGTCTCGCTTTAGTCGTGCGAGCCCCGAGACGGGATGCTAGAACAATGATGGGGCACCACGTGCACATAAGACGGCTCCAGTGGACGAAAACAAGCCCCCTGGTGGTGGTTCGCACTGCAAGGTAAGGCACTGGGAGGTCGACTCCGACCTCACGATCAGCCAAAGAGCACCGTACGACATTGTACCGAATGGAGTAGCTCTGGACGAAAACGTATCCTGACGAAGGACCCAAGCATATGCAGGTGTGAGCAACACAAGTGTTGGTATCGTCTTCGGTGGAGCTCCCCATGGGGCACGGAACTTGTGAGGGGTGTGCCAACATGGGTGCGATGGTGTCATGCCAACGCAACCACTGGGGCCTGCGGTGGAGCTCCCCATGGGGCCACATGGGCGCGGTGGTGTCATGCCAGCGCAGCCACGGGGGCCTTCGGTGGAGCTCGTTGTGGGGCCACGAGACGTGTGATGGGTGTGCCAACGTGGGCGCGGTGGTGTCACGCGAACGCAGCCGCTGGGGTCTTCGGTTGAGCTCCATATGTGGCCACGAAACGTGTGAGCCTTGTGCCGAAATTGGTTCAGTGGTGCAGTGGGATCGCAGCTAATGGGGCGTTCGGTGGAGCTCCCCATGGGGCCACGAAGCGTGTGAGGGGTGTGCCGAAATGGGTGCGGTGCTGTCGTACGAATGCAGCCACTGGGGCCTGCGGCGGAGCTCCCCATGGGGCCACGAAACGTGTGAGGGTGTGCCAAAATGGGCGCGGTGGTGTCATGCGAGCGCCGCCACTGGGGCCGCGGTGGAGCTCCCCATGGGGCCACGAAATGTGTCACGGGTGTGCCAACGTGGGCGCGGTGGTGTCATGCCAGCGCAACCACTGGGGCCTTCGGTGGAATGCCAGCGCAGCTACTGGGGCCTTCGGTGGAACTCTCTTTGGGGCCACGAGACGTGTGAGGGGCGTGCCGACATGTGTGTGCGGTGGTGTCATGCGAGCGCAGCCAATGGCGCCCTCGGTGTAGCTCCCTTCGGGGCCACGGGATGGGTGCAGTGGTGTCATGCGAACGCAGCCACGGGGGTCTTCGGTGTAGCTCCCTATGAGGCCACGAAGCGTGTGAGGGGTGTGCCAAAATAAGGTGGGTGACGGGAGGAGGGAGGAGGGGGAGGAGGAGGAGGGAGGAGGAGGAGGAGAGGAGGAGAGAGGCGGAACGCGGGGACCCTCCCTTCCAAACGAGGACCCGACACCACAGGATGGAGGGGAAAAACGGGCCTCGCGACACCCGCACAGAAACCACCTGCTGCCAAGCGGCACTGCACCGGTCGACCGCGTCCACCGTGGTTGCCACGCGCAGAGATGGCATCCGACGGCACCACGCGGCAGAGAGCACCACGCAGAGAGCCGGGCGGGCGGCCACTGTCCTTGACGTATCCAAAAACACCCTGATCCATTGCGACACCAAGGGAGCCGTCGAGATCAAGCACGCGTCGGGCCATCTGGAGATAGATCAAAAACACGCGCGTTGGAGACATCGGATCAGACACGCGTCGGGCAGACTGGTCAGACAAAACACGCGTCAAACACGCGTCGGGCAGTCTGATCAGACACGCGTCAGACACGCGTCGGACAAACGTGCTTAGGGAAAATCGGATCAACCACGCGTCGGGCAATCTGGAGGTAGAGCAGCCCAGTCGGCGCGCCGCAGCCGACATGCGCACTCTTTGAGGTCGGTGGCTCGCCGCCGTGGCCACACAAGAAGGGAAAAGAAAGGCCGCTGCCCTGGCAGTAGCCCACCACAGAATCCCAGATGGCGTACGCATTGAGCACCTGAGCAACCGCCAGGCGCGCCGCCTAGCTGGCAGGAAGCCCCCCGGAATCCTCGGGGACTTCCTACCGCCCAGCCTCTGCGCATCTTGGAAATATTGACTCACCTTCTAATTGCCTCAAGCCATCCTTCCTCTCCCCCTCCTCTCCTTCGCTCCGTCCTCTCTCCTGCCTCGGTCTCCCTCGACCTCTCCTACTACCTGACACTCTTGGCGCGAGGGTGGGAGAGGAAGCCATGGGGAGGAGAGCAGCAGAAGAAGGATGGTTTACTTTCCGCAGCTCACTTCTCCTCCACCCCTCTCATCGATTTGTGCCCTCCCCTGCCCCTGACCCCTCCCCTCCCCTCTCCTCGCTCCTCACAGCGCACCTCCACCCCCTATTCCTCACCTTTCTCCGCCTCCGGATTCCTTCGCCCCTCACTCAAAGTCTTACGTTCGTCCAGCCTGGCCGGCAGGACGGACCATGATACAACGCGGCGCTCGGATGTCTGAGGGTATCCCTGGAAGGTCAGACAGCATTCACTGAGATCTGACGCTGCGAACCAATAGCCCCACCAGCCCTCTGGGCGTAGGTGGTTTAGGGTGTTTCCTCTTCCACCCCTCCTGTTCCCCTTCGCTAATTGAAGCTCCCCTCTCGTTTGATCGATCACCTCCCCCCCGAAGCACCCAAGACGCCAAAGAGTCCCCCAGGTCCGCCAAGAGAACCCCAAGACGTCCCAAGAGGCCACCAAGAAGCGCCGAGGAGATATCCCAAGAGGCTCCGAGAGGCATCCAAGAGACCTCTGGCCCTTTTGCTTACTCTCACCCTCATGTTCCTCCTTCCTCCTCCTAATCCGTTTCTTCTTCCTCCTCCTCCTCCTCCTCATCCTCCTCCTCATTATATTCATCCTCCTTTTCCCCACTCCCTCATCCATTAATCTAACCTCCTCCTTCTCTTCTCTCCTTCGCACGGTTCGGCCGACCCCCTCTTTGCTCCCGCACTTCCCTGATCATCTCAACTCGCCTGGACATGGTTTCTGGATGGGCTGGTGGGGATACTTGTTTGATCGCAACCGCGGCGAAAAGGTCGGGCGGCGTCAAGGGGCGAAGCACAGAGGCGACGGCCTAAATTAGCGCAAAAAGGCTGGTGGGGATACTTTATTTTATTTTATTTTTTTTCGCAACCGCGGGCGAAAGCGCACACGGCGAGTCGTAAGTCTGGGGCGCGGGACTACTAATTGACAAAAGCAACCCAGAGCCGCCAACCTAAACTGCCTAAGCGGCCTAAGCGGCGCCTCACGTGACCTGCAAGCTGTACTGAATGTGGCTGCCAGGGCCAGGAGCAGAACGCGCCCACACAGCGTCCATGCAAGCATAGCGGTGGCAGTCTGGTGGGTACGCGAAGCGTCTAGAATTATCTACTGCGTGTCGCTCCCCATATGTGCATCTAGTGGCGTGGACCTTTTCTGCTGTGAGCGTCTAGGCACAAGCGACTTGGAATCTAAGCGGGGTTGAGTATTGACAGACTAGGAGCACATCCAATTCTGAATTAGTTGGAGTGTGGATGGGCCTCAGAAGTACGAGTGAGTCTACGCGCATGAGTCTGAGCATGTCTAAGCTTAGAATGGGTGCAACACCGCGTCAGTGAACTGTGCATGACTGAGCGTGGCTGAGTCGACATGGCTACGCGATCTCTCCATCACTGATGAAGCAAAGAATAGGAGTGCTCACACAAACGTCGTGCGGAACCCTTGCGCTTCGGTGGCTGGCCCAGAAAATCTCAAGCAGTGACTGCACCGCGATACAGCCAACGACGCCACCGGGAAGGAAGGCTTGAGATTGGAGCCACTGGAGAGGAGGCAATCTATACACCAACGACTCGCGCCACAGTAGAAGCCAACTCTACAGGACCCTACGTAAAACACCTAGGATTGGAGCCACTCCTGTGGCCTCCTGTTTGGCCTCCTTAGGTTTCCTGGGGCCTCTCGGGGCCTCCTGCGGTCCCAACGCAGCCTCCTGTGGCCTCTCAGGGCGTCCTGAGGCCTACTGGGGCCTCCTTGGGCCTCCTGGAGCCTCTTAATGCCTCCTGGCGCCTCCTGGGACCTCCTGGTCCCTCCTGGAGCCTCCCGGGCCCTCCTGATTCGTGCCCCAAGAGATGCCCAATCTATAAAAACAGATGCAAAACACAAAAAGGATTGGAGCCACAGGAGGAGCAGTCTATGGGAACGTATGTAAAACATCATGGACTCGTGCCCCAGGAGAGGCGAAATCTATAGGAACGTACGGGAAACACATTGGATTGGAGCCACAGGGGAGGGGCAATCTGTAGGAACAGGCGTAAAACACTAAGGAGTCGTGCCCTAACAGAGGCCCAATATATACGAACACGTGTCAAACACCTGGGATTGGAGCCACTCCTGTGGCCTCCTGGGGCCTCTTGGAGCCTTCTGGGACTTCCTGGGACCTCTTGGGGCCTCCTGGAGCCTCCTGGGTCCTCCCAGGTCAACCGCTCGAGACATCCCCGCAATCTGGGCGCGAACGGGGGAATGAGATACCCCCTGGCTGCTGCCCCTTTGGCGTGCTGAAACCAGCGCCTCGCCCGATACATCCTCAGAACCTGCTCTGAACGCAAGCGAGTGGGGCCAGCAAAACACGCTGACCGCTCGAGACGTCCTCGCAATCTGGGCCGCCTGGGGTGCGAAAACCAGCGCCTCGCTGATGTTACTTAGGCTTTCAAGCCAGTGTGGCATCCTGGAAGTGGGGGCGAGGGGCAATTTGGATGGGCGCGCCGCTGGATCCCCTAAAGGGGAGTGGGGGTCCGCCGTCCCAGGACCCCCCCCTTTCCCGATCCGTCGTCTCGGACAACCCCCCCTTCAAGAGGGGGGGTGAACACCTCGCCCCCCTTGGACTCGAAAATCGAATTCCCTTCCACCCTCCCCCTCTTGGCCACGCCGTCCCCTCCGGAACCCTACTAACCCAACCACACCCTAATACACCCTAACCCTGACTGTCTAAGCCTAACATCCAAACCCGAGCACCCTAACCCTGACACTCTACCTCCCTAATCGTAGCACCCGAACTGTAACGCCCCAACCCTAACACCCTAACCCGAACCCTACCACCCGAAGCGTAACACACAAACCTTAACATCATTACACTAGAACCCTGACGCCAACCCTAACACCCTAACCCTAACATCCTGGTCCTAACACCCTAACCCGAACTCCCTTGAAACCAAACGTCCTGATTACAGGCTGAAAACCCTAAGCCCAAAGCCCAAGCTGTAAGGCTTAGGCCCAAAGCCCCCAGCTCCAAAGCCCGAATGATTACGCCCCCTAGTCCGCCGTGCTTCCCAAGGGAGTCGCGAGGTCTCGGATTGGCCTGCGTACTCCCCTGCTCCGCAGTTCCTCCCAGGAGCCCAAGAAAGTGGCGACGGTTGTGCAGTTCGCAGCCACCTCAGAGAGCTGCGAGGTCTCGGCTTGGTGCGCGTACTCCATTACTTCGCCGTGCCTCCCAGGAGCCCACGCAAGTGGCGACGGTTGCGCAGTTCGCAGGCCCCATGAGGAGTTGCGAAGTCTCGGCCTGGCGCGCGTGGCTCCCGACTCCGCTGGACCTCCCAGGAACACACGAAAATGACGACAATGGCTCCTGTCGCCGCCCCCCAAGGAGCTGCGAGGTCTCGGATGGGTGCGCGTAGTCCCCTATTCCGCCGTGCCTCCCAGGAGCCTGCGAAAGTTACCGTAAGTCCGCAACTCGCAGCCTCCCAGGGAGCTGCGACGTCTCGGCTGGGTGCGCGGACTCCCTTGGTCCGCCGTGCCTCCCAGGAGCCCACGAAAGTGGCGACAATTGCGCATCTCGCTGGCCACAGGGCGTTGCGAGGTCTGGGCTGGGTGCGCGTATTCCCCCAGTCCGCCGTGCCTCCCAGGAGCCCACGAAAGTGGCGACAGTTGCGCAATTCGCAGCCACCCAAAGAGCTGCGAAATCTCGGCTGGTCGCGTGTTTTCCCCTATTCCGCTGGACCTCAAGGAAACACCACAGCAAGTGGCGACCGTTGAGCAATTCGCAGCCACCCATGGAGCAGCGCGGGGAGCTTCATTTCAACACGGAAGTCCAACACAGGAGGGTTGGGGAAACACACGATGCGGTGCATGCCAGCTGCTGTGGTCACCGCCTTCTCAAGTCTACAACCCTCCCGAACCGAAGACACGAGTGTGCGTGTTCGCGCATCCCCGATCGAAAACTTGCACGATGGAAACCCTACCGTCACGATCCGATGAAAACGCATACCCTGCGGCGTACAACATATTTGCATAAATCAACCATATTCGATGTCCCACCTTGTCATGAATGATTGCAATCTGGGAACCAACATTCGTTACGCAGCGAACTTGCCTGTGGCACGACTCACTGGACTCGCCCACCGCCAGATGAGCTGGGGACTGGCGGGGGGGGCACGAGAAGTGGAGGCGATGAGCCGCCGTACGAGAGCCCCCGTAGGGCGTTACTCAATTGGACCCCAGCAGCCCTCGAAACACGCGACGCTTTCCCAGTTCGCATCCCCACACACACACACACACACACACACACACACACACACACACACACACACACACACACACACACACACACACACACACACACACACACACACACACACACACACACACACACACACACACACACACACACACACACACACACACACACACACACACACACACACACACACACACACACACACACACACACACACACACACACACACACACACACACACACACACACACACACACACACACCACACACACACACACACACAACACACACACACACGCACACACACGCACAGACACGACACAGACACAGACACAGACACAGACACAGACACAGACACAGACACAGACACAGACACAGACACAGACACAGACACAGACACACACACACACACACACACACGCACGCGCGTACACACGCACGTACACACGCACACACGCACACACGCACACACGCACACACGCACACACGCACACACGCACACACACACACACACACGCACACTCGCGCACACACACACACACACACACACACGGATGGCGATGTCGAATCCACCGACGCTTTGTGGGTCTCTAAGCGTGTGAGAGTATCCCCCCCGTAATCACCCCCGAGGGACCCCAACAAGGAAATTCGACCCCCCCCCTGGGGGAGCGGAGGGCTCCAAAACGGACCAAGAAGGCACCACAACGCTCCCCAGATAGTCCCAGACGGCCACGAGTCGCCGAAATCTTACATACTCCTTGACGCCCACGATGGCCTCCAGACGGCCTCTGAAGTTGCCAAGGCGTCCCAAAAGGCCCCCACGATGCGACCCAAGAGAGTCCCAAGAAACAGAAATCGTCCCATTCCCTACCCGCCTTTTCGGTTCCCACCACGTCCAAGACGGGCAACGAAACTTTTAATACCGCCCCCGGACGGCCAAGCAGCCCACGAAGCCACCAAAACAGCCCAAGAGGGCCCCCAGACGGCTCCAAGAGGGAGTCCAGAGGGCACCTTTTCCAGCTTTCGGCCCCAAGACGCCCCCAGCCTGCCCAAAGAACGCCCCAAGAGGCCTTGGACCCCCAAGAGAGCCTCAAAGGCCTCCAAACAAAAACAAGAACCCCCCAAAAAGCCCCCAAACTACCTGCAAGACGACCCCGTCAGGCAGGAAGTTTGGAGTTTGGGGGCCTCCAAGAAGCCCCCCAAAGGCCCTCACGAGATCCCATCAACCATCCGTGTGGCCGCACACCCGCAACCCAAACACGGTGGCGGGATACATCGCCCGCCATTCGAGAACCGCTCGTCCGGTTTTTGGACCGACGCCTGCCGTCTACGAATGCGGGTGGTCGCATGTATATTCTGATGCCTGCACGGCGAACACTTCGAAAGTCAGCCACGGACGATGCACTGACGGAGCACACATCCATCTGGGAACGAAAGGGTGCGCCCTCAGGAACGAAAGGGACGGACGCGACGACGCTCGGCTCCCTGGGCCCTCGACGCGCCCCGGGGCCGTCAGACAGCGACCCAGCATGATCACCAGGCCCTGCGAAAAGTCCGCCATCGTGCCTGCACGACGTGGGCGTGCCAGACTACCGAGTGCTGCTCTGCAGCGTGTTCTGATTTGGGCCCCCCCCCTTCTCTGCTTCCAGACTGGCCCATGCATGCCCCCTGTCCCCCGAAGCCACACGCCCTCGTTGGAAGGTTGTGCGTCCGCGTCCCGAGCGTCCAAGGCAGCCCAGGCAGGCAGGCAGGCAACCAACACAACCAGGATGGCCCAAGATGCCTCGAGGTGGCCGGATATGGCCTGCAGACAGGCCAAGACGCCACCAAAAGGGCACAAAAGAGCACCAAGGGGTACGATAACAGCAACGGAACAACAGAAACGATGTCGAGCGCCGTGTCATGATTCGGACAAGCCTGGTGAAATGCAGCCCTGGAGGCGCAGTGGTTTTTATAGGGGTCGGCGCAATAGCAGACCTCGAGTGAGGCCGAATTCGTAATTCGCAACCCACAAGGATGGCGAGATCAAATCTAGATCTGCGTAAGACGTCACTCCTCTGGACCCCCCAGCAGCGATCGTAAATGGCGACAATTTCGCAGTTCGCAGCCCCCAGGGAAGGCTAGGTTTTATCTGAATCCCCGTATGACGTCACCCCGCTGAACCTCCACGGCAAGCTTCTGAAACGTGGCGACAACTTCGCAGTGCACAGTCCCCCAAGATGGCGAGGTCGAATGTAAGTCTGCGATAAGGCGTCACTCCGCTAGACCCCCCAGCAATCTGCGAAAGTGTCGACAATTTCGCAGTTCGCAGCCCCTGGGGATAGCGAGGACCAGTATGATTCTTCATAAGGCGTCGCTCCGCTGACCCCCAGCAGCCCTCGAAAGTGGTGGCAACTGCACAGCGCGCAGCCCCCCCAGGAACGGCGAGGCCGAATCTCAGTATGCGTAAGGCGTCACTCTGCTGGACAACACAGCAACCCTCATACATGACGACGGTTGCGCAGTTCGCAGACCCCACGCCAACCTGGCCCGAAAGCAGCGCCCGGCTCCGAGGACACTGAGCCGCGGGCGCTCGACGCCAGCCGGCGCCGCTCCTCGGTAAAGTCCTCGTCCTTCGGGAAGGTCCTCCGAACATCCGCAGACCCAGCCCGAGCGCGTGGGTCGAAGGCTCTGGGGCCCCAGACATCAGGGAGCAACTCCTGGGAGGTCTTCTAGGGGGCCACATGCGACCCCCACCCCTACACCCCCCACACGATTTCTGAGGGGGAGAGGGGTGGGGTTCACTTCGCTCGGGAGCTCCCGAACGAAATGAACCCCACCCTCCCCCTCAGAAATGGGGGGGGCGGGTAGGGGAGGGTAGGAGTAGGGTTCGCGTGTGGCCACCTATCTTCGTGAGGGCGCCGAAGACCTAGGAAGCCCAATTCGAAGGCCACTAGTCCAGATCAGGCTAGAGTAAGCCTGGGCTTCAACCAGGACCAAGCCGGATTAAACCATACTGCGCAAAATTCAACAACACAGGATATACCATTATGCCGGGTTATGCCGGTAACTTAGCCGCATCCTAATCAGGGGCCCAGGACGTCAGGAAACGACTCAGCATGGAGAGCCGATCGCGGGGGATGGGTCGAGACCTCTGGCGGCCCAGGCCGTGAAACAGTCATTACGCTGGAGTCTTGGGCTGTAACCTGGGTCACCTGCCTTCGCGCATCGCGCTCCGCGATGCGCGACGCGCGGTTATCTTCGCACCCTCGCGCCGCCGCCTTGAAAAGGCCACCTATCCACGGCCCAGACCGCGACGCGCAGAACGCAATGACCGTCGCCGCCCTTGCAGGTGACCCGGCGCCTCGGGGGACATCAGCTGAACACCTCACCGGTCCTGGCCAGCCCGATCCTTGGCCAGGGCTCGGCGTCGACGCTTCCCACGCCAATCCAGGGGGGCGTCTTCACCGCTTCTGGGCCCAGGATGGGCCTGGCCAGGCTCGGCAAGGCGGTCAGTCGACGTCCCCCGATTGCAGGAGGCTGAACTCGAGGAAATCAGTCGGGAAGCCTGAGGTGAGACCTCGCTCTTGAGAGGCCCGTCTGGGGCCTGGAGGGTCCCTGCAAATGTGCCTGTCATGCTGGGAATCCTGGGACGTGGCGCGAGCGCTTCGGAGAAACACAACGTGGACTCGTGGTCGATGACATCCAACTGGATGCGTGGCCACCAGCCGCAGACCCATCATTGAGAATGTTGATGGAACCGCAGTGGTCGAGTCGCGAGACGCATCACGGAAGCAAGCCTACAGAAGCAGGGCCCAACGAGTGGCCATGGGTGAAATAGCCCAGTCTGACATCGGCCGCAATATGCGGCTGCAGGCTCTAGAAGCCTCGGCGCGAGCCGACGTCGCCTTCGTTGCCACGCAGGGATCCGCAGATTTGGCCTGCCCAAGCTGCTCCCAGTCCACCGTTTGACAGCAAACGCCCCCCCTCTTTGCCCCACGCCTGTTCCGAAACGTTCCTGATCAATGCAGCTCGCCTGGACTTGTTGCTCTGGATGGGCCGATGGGGATACGACTACCTACCAGACCACCCCAAACCCAACCCGAGAACCCAAATTTCGGATTAGGGGGGTACAGGGTTCCACGCATGTTGTTTCGATATCTCCCGATCCCCCCCCACACTGGAAACCGACGGCAAATTTGAGCCTTCGGGTTGGGTTGGGGTGGCTTGGATGGGCCGGTGGGCATACGCGAGGAGTCGAACAATCCCTCAAGGGTGAGCCCCGTCTGAGGGCTGTCCCTGCCAGCAAGGAGCACGAGAGAAAGACCTCGAGCCGATGCCGAGGGGCTTGAGGGAGGAGAGGAGGCGAGAGCCCCTGCGCTCCAGTCCGCGGCGCTCGCGCGCGTGCGCGGCGGGCTCTCGCAGCGTGCTTTCCTCAGCTCCGCCCCGCCCGCGCGGGCTGCCCTCGGGCCGGGGGCGGCGCGGGAAGGACGTCCTGACGCCCAGGTCGCGAGAAGGGGCTGCCCGATGGGCAGGCGCGAGGCGGGTGGGCCACGTCTTTTTCTCCGCCGAGCCGCCTGGCCCGGCGGCAGCTCCACCGAGCTCGGGCACAGGCCCGCGCGCGGCGCTCCGCCGACGGGTGCACCGGATCGGGCCGCGAGCCCGAGGCGTCCCCACGCGGCCCCCCCGAGGGCCCACCCAACCTTGCGGGCCCCAAGGTATCGTACACCACCACCGCCACCTCCATTCCCTCCCTCTCCTCTGCCCTCCTCCTCCCCTCCTCTCCTCCTGGGAGAGGGGTCGGGTTGGGGAGGCGGCGGTGGTGTACATGTTGTGGCCCCGCAAACCTTGCGGGAGCACAGCACGCAAACTACCCGCCTGCGCCCCCTGTGGGGCATGCCCTGCTGTCTCAGAGGCCCCATCCTGTTTGAAAACGCTCCCCGCCAAACTAACACGACTCATAAGGATCATGTGCCATGCGACCTATACGAGACGGCGCTATCTATTACCTGGGAACCCACCCCGCCCTCTTGGCAATACAAAACCGGCGGGGACGGCTTGAGTTCCGCCTGGAGCTATGGCCTCTACTTCAATGATGATCATCAAGGAGATGTCACTGATCCCGCTCGACACTTCACGCAGCCGAACAAGCTGGCGGATATTGCGTCGAGCAGGCGGGGATCCACCTCGATGAGCTCGGCGAAATCGCTGCTCTTGCCCCTCAGATCGTCGTACCTCAGAACATTGGGAGCACCACGAAGGTTGAGGCAACAGGAAGGCTGGAAAGATACTCTGAGCTATACAGCGGCACTGAGTCTCAAGCGCAAGGCTCATGGGCCGATCAGGTCACCATTGGCGTTCCTCCCGCCTGCCTGCTCTCCAGGCTCGTGCTCTCCACAGGAGTGGAGACAACGGCATTGCGGATCAAAGACATAAAAGGAGGCAAACAAACCTACCTCGCTTTTGACCACCCTCGCTTCCAAAAGATACCAAACGATACCAGGCTACGGCCCGCACCAGTCGGGTCGCTTGACCAGGAGGCGCGTGGTATGACGTCGTCTTGTCTGGAAGCGAAAGCGGGGTAGGTAATTCACGCTCTGACATAAGATTCTGGCTTGTCGGGGCCTCGTCACTTCGCTCTGACGGACGCCATCAACAACCGAAGTGCATGACGACGTCCTCGCTTGTGTGTGTGCATGTGAATGCGAGCGTGAGCCGGCGCGTGTCCGCTTCAGTGCTTTATCCTGACTGGCGCTCTCCTTACAGTAGGAGCTCGACCACAAGAACCCTTCCACAAGAAACATAACCCTGAGACCTCAGGACGTCCATTGATTTCTGGCGTGGGAACGTCACGCTTTCCATGGCAGAGCAATCCAGACCCAAGGAACTCAGGGCACCCTGGAGGCAAGCAGGGTGTTTATTGGCATGGGTCTCCACTGTATCAGCACAGCCTAAGAACTCAATGGCAAAACGATACGACACTCCCAAACCACAGTGTGGAACGCATCACTCAGGCATACGTTATGGTAAAGGCTACACACATTCGGGAAGTCAATCCCCTCCGACGAGGTCCCAGTCCTCTGCTCCTGTCCTCTCATTGCCCTCTTCAGCAGTAAGAGGAGCACCTCGTAGACAACTCGCGGTCACCAGGTCCTCCTCCGAGACGAACTGCCTCCTTCCAGACCTGCCGGAGCCCCCTCCCACTTGAGCACCGCACCACAGAGATCATGCGAAGGGCGCCCGAAGACTGCCCGAAGACTGCCAAATGCGTTCAGGGATCTCGAGATGCACACTGGCGCTGGGGTGCCCCAGGGTAAGCAGAACAAGCTCATCACCAGCGCCTTCCCCTTTTACCTCGCGATGTGCGCAGTCTACGGGGCTATGCGATGTAGTCCTCGCAGGCGCGCTGAGCCCAGCTATCGCAAAGCAGAGCACGTCTACTTTGCAGGCTTCGAGCGATCCCCACCGAAGCCTTCAATGATTGTCCCAAGCGGTGCGCGCACCTGCAGTCACGATGCGTGCAAACGTACGGCAGATGAAGCGGACAGAGCAAATGGCGTCGGTTAACAAAGTGGCCGAATGGATTCGACACCCCTATACGCGGCCAGGCCATCAGAATTTGCGATTGTATGTTAGCTTGTACGGGACTCGGATATGCCCAGTTATGTCACCATGCTTCGTGGTTTAGCACTTTGTTGGGTGATACGACGTGGGCCGCTCTGTTGTTTAGCATCAGGCACTGTCCCCCCAATGCAGCCTGCCTACTGCTACTACGACGCCCTAATAAGATCGATGTGCGCTCTAATCGTTCCCAATGTAGAACGGAATGCTGTAATATGTCGTGGTATCCTCCGGCCTGTATCCTCGTGTACGCGACTATATCGTACTAGATGCTGCCCTGTCCTGGGAGTAAGATAGCGCCTGTAGCCTCTCCGACTGAACTCTGGCATGCTGGTTTCTACCCGATCCGTTTGGCGTAACCCCCTGGACTGAACATTCATGTACGATGAGTTAGGTGTTGGAGAGATGTTTTTGTGATCTGTCCATGTGTGATCGGTCATGCTAGGACAGATTATCCGTTGTGTATACTGTGGCGTGGCATGTCCAGAAACGACATATTCGTTCAAACACGGATTCATACCGACATAAGCGTGGCATTATGCGCCGTGGTATAATATAGTATGACCACTTTAATGCTGTCACTATGTTTGGCACCTTTATTTGCTAAAGTGTTTTGCTACGTGGTGTGTCTTGATTGACCCTCTTAAACATTCCATGCTGCTGCATTATTTCATATATACCCCAAATGCGTTTGCACTTAGACGTTCCCACCTTGTCCCCGAAGAACCATGCCTGTGTGTAGGTCTGGCGGCTATGTGGCCGCCGTCGCCGCCCAGTCGCCGCGTCGTCGCCGTCCGTCGTCCGGGCCTCTGTGCTTGTCTGGCGGCTATGTCCTCGTCGCCGCTCGTCGTCTGGGCCAGTCTGGCGGTCTGTCGGCTGCGTGGTCGCCGTCGCCGCCACGTCGCCGCCACGTCGCCGCCTCGTCGCCGCCTCGTCGCCGCCCAAGGTTGCAACACATATATTCTTCGTTTCAGAATGACATGAAAATCTAGCCACCTCAAGTCTTTTCGGCCCTTCTTGGGATACCAAAATTTACACCTGAGCATCTCCCGTGTTTCATCTTCCATACGAACCCATGCCGCTCCAGCCAAGCCCGGTTCCCCTCCCCCCCCACACACACATCCCTTGCAAATGACACTATGCGCGCACACTCACGTATCACTCACGTCCTATGCTGCCGCTGCATCGCCTGGGGCGGCGCTGGCGCACCCAGGTTTCGCGGGACAACAAGCGCCGGCGGCACCTGGGGCCCCGTGGGGCCACCGACCGCTCCCGCAGGCGCGCCTGGCTTTCGGGCGGAGGCGCCCGAGCCCACTCGGTCGCCTGCCGTCGCCGAGCTCGGGCCTGGCGGCCCGCGTGCTCCGGCACCTGTCGCGGCTCCACTTGGGCAGCCGCTCCCAGCTGGTGCGCGCCGCCAGGGCTCCCAAGGGCCGGGGCCCCCCGCGCTTTGAAGGCGTCGTGGGGCCGGCGACGTCGCGGGGCACGACCTGCGACGGGACGGCGTCGAGCCCTGCGATCACGGCAGCGACCTGCCAGCAGTCGTGGGGCGGCCGGCCTCGCCTCCGTCGCGCTCAGGCCAGCGGTTGACCTCGCCAGCCTTGGCGTCGCAGCACCCCGATCGGGATGCGCCGCCGCGAGGCGGCATCCGCAGGGCTACGCTCTGACGGCAGCCACCACAGCGCGGGCGCCGCCCTCCCCGCGGGGCACCACGCCGCCCACTGCCGCGAGACTCGCTCCAGGCCTCGAGAGGTCGAACGGCCCTTTGTCAGAGCCAGAACGGAGGACATGTTGTCCGAGAAAAACAAGACCTGCATTCCGAACGTGCAGGCGCCCCGGAATGCATGGCGGATAGCGCGCACGAGGGTCCATCCTTCGAGGACCACGATGTGCTCCAATCGGGCCCAGCCCCCACTAGATACCACCTGCCAGCGCCCGTGGAGGATCTCCTGGGACACCTCCTGGATACCTGGGGCCGCGCAGCCCTCGCCAGGGCACTCGCTTCCAAGACGATCACGAGGACGTACAGGTCCCCCGCGAGCATCCTGAGCTCGAAACCGCCACCGATCACTCTCGCGCCCCATCCCCCTCGCCTTGTCGGTCGGGACCTCCTCTGGACAGCGCCGCGACCCTGCTCGCTAGCGCCAGTCGCATGTGCCCTCGTCTTCCGCTCTGCCCTAAGATCTGCCTGAAGCAGCGGCAACAAACTAACTGCCCAACGGAGGTCGCGTCGAACTCCCCCCGACAGAGGCCGCGAGACGTCTCGACGCTTGGTCGCGAAGCGATACGCAGCGTCAAAAACTGCCAAGAGCTGTCTGCGAGCGAGACCCACAGAGGTGAACCGGCCCACAATCTAGCTAATTTGTCGGCCCGTGGCCGCGCCCCGTTCAAACAGGGCCAGGGCCAACTCGCTTATCCTCAAATGCCGGAACCTCCGAGACTTGGGCCGCGCGGCACCCCCTCCCCTTCAAAGACCCACCCTGGACTCTCACGGGGCCGGACTCTCACGGGGCCGGGAGGCCTCGTCGGGCCCTTGAAGGGGCGGCCCGGCCGCGGACAGCGACTCCGCGGCAAGGGAGAGAAGCTCGTTGGCTCTCTCGGCGGACGTGGCTAAGCTCCAGAAAGCATCGACATACAGCACATGCACGCCCCGTGAAATCGGAGGAACGACGCGCCCATCGACCAAGCGATCAACACCATCGACTCCCGCGCGTTCTCTCAAGACTCCCTCGTGAACTCGCTGACAAAAAACTTCGGCGTGAGACCGCCCCATGGGGTGTGTGGGAAAACGTTGCCGCGGCCACTCTCGCCGTCCAGTGGGCCGCCCATCTACGGGCGAGGCCCCAGCATTCTCCGCCCCCACGCATGGGAGAGAGAAGACGGGGCGGAAGCTGAGAGGGGGTCCCACGTGGTAGAACGCATCGCAAAGATCGACACCAGAGACCCACAAGTCCCCCCCCATTCGGAAGCTCAGTCGAGGCTAAGCTAGCATACGACGCGAGTGCCACGCGCTCTGGTTCCTCCAAATAACCACTGCTGGCTCTACAGTCTACCGCAAGACGTTGTCTGCTATCTTTTTTTCCACGCCGCGAACATGCCCACCCCTTCGCGCGCTTCGACCGAGTCTGACGCCAGGTCTAACATGCCTGCCTCCGACATCACGCGAAGGAGCTGCACCCGCGTCGATGGCTCACGAAAGACAGGGTCGAGGTGGGGCTTGGAGAACTGCGTTTCCGCCATCCGCTCGCCTGCAAGTCGACTCGGCAAAACCTTGCCGCGAAGAAAAGCTCCGAGCAGTAGCGGGCCATCCCGCCCCAGCATCTCCTCCAGAGGACGCGGCCGCGCGCGCGCCCGCGGCAGTGGGGCGAAGCCCCGGCGCCCTCCGCCCCCACGCACGGGAGAGAGAAGACGGGGCGGAAGCTGAGGGGGGGGGGGGGGGGGGGGGCACGTGGTAGAACGCATCGCAAAGATCGACACCAGAGACCCACGAGCCACCCCCTTCGGAAGCTCAATCGAGACTAAATTAGCATACGACCCGCGTGCCACGCGCTCTGGTTCCTCCAAATAACCACTACTGGCTCTACAATCTACCGCAAGACGTTGTCTGCTATTTTTCCACGCCGCGAACATGCCAACCCCTTCGCGCGCTTCGACCGAGTCCGACGCCAGGTCTAACATGCCTGCCTCCAACATCCCGCGAAGGAGCTGCACCAGCGTCGATGGCTCACGAAAGACAGGGTCGAGGTGGGGCTTGGAGAACTGCGTTTCCGCCATCCGCTCGCCGGCAAGTCGACTCGGCAAAACCTCGCCGCCAGGAAAAGCTCAGAGCAGTAGCGGGCCATCCCGTCCCAGCAACTCCCCCAGAGGACGCGGCCGCGCGCGCGCCTGCGGCAGCGGGGCTAAGCCGAAACTCAAAGACGCCATCGCCTGGGGCCCCTCAGCCCCGCACGCCGAACTGACCCACAGCTCGCGCGGGGCCGCGTCGCCAGTGAGATCAGGCGGCGGAGCGCCAGACTTCGCGCAACATTCGGACAAGCGCTCTTGCGCGCGCTCCTGGACTCGGAGGCCCCCCAAAGGGCTCGAAAACGGCCCGAAGGGGCCCCCCAGACGGCCCCAAGAGGGCCCGAAAACTACCAGGGGAGCCCCAAGACGGCCCCGAGAGAGCCTCAGGAGCACCCCAAGGAGCTCCCGAGAGGGCCCCAATATGCCCCCAAGACAGCCCGAAGACGGCCGAATGTCTCCAAGACGCCCCAAGACGGCCCGAAAAGAAACCCAAAACGGCCCAAGAGAGCCCCACAAATGGCGCTGCCGTGCGCCCGCCAGCCCTGGCCGCTGCACCCCAACGGAGGGCGCTGGGCGCTCTCGGCGCACGCCGCACGCGACTTCCGCCGTCGCGCGCCGCTGCGCAGCCGAGCTGCTGCCCGGGCACATCGACCGGGGTGGTGGGTGGGGAAAAGCGCGGCGCACGCCGATGCAAATGTCGCACCTGCGCGCGCAGCGCGCGCAGCGGGGCGGACGCGCCCCCCCCCCCCCCGCGGGCCAACGCGCGCCCTGCCGATCCATCGC